AAGACCAAAGTGAAACGCCGTAGCGGCATTTTTCAGTTAGCGCTTGTACTTCCGATGTGAGCTTGTAGACAATGGAACTGGCCTCAGTGCTATGAATGGGATAGCAATTTTTATTTGTCTCTGCAGTTTGTTCTAACTTTGTCGACGCCGGTGGTAAGGCGGCCAACCAAGAAACCAGTGTTTGACTGGGCAGCACGTATTAAGGTGAGTTCACTCAAGATTCTGGGCCGTTTCAAGGCGGGAAATAGCGCTATAGATTGTTTCGAGGGTGGGAGCACGGTTGGAACTATTAGGAGCTGGATTTACTTCAATATGTTCTGACATCAGCAATAAATCCACAGCATGAGCATTAATGACACAAGAACACAATAGCTTGCCAAACCTAATATGCCAGCGGCAAGTAACTAGCCTGCACGAGGAAGGGCATTCGCGTGATTTAGTTCCTTGCGGTGAGGTGCCCCAAACTGGCGTCGAGCGAAGGCTGCTTTTGTAGATACGGGGAATCCCCTTCGCAGATGCAGTGCAGAGTTTTTTTTTTTTTTGAGCCGGCGAAGAACAGGCCATTGGAGACTTCCATTGCTAGCGTTGGTGGTCTGCTTTGTGGATAGCGAGGAGATTGGTTGGTGTGACGTTTTTGAACTTGTCGGCATTTTTAGATTTTTATGCTTGCAAGTAGAGTTCGTGGTGGTTGGTTTTAAATCACGTTGTTCAGTTAGGACGAGATCCATGCGGTCTGCATCCTGAGATGAGCAAAGCTTAAAGCTGGTGGATTGTAGGCCAAGCCTGAAGCGAGTGAGCATGGAAGCCTCCTGGGTGGTCCGATTTTCCGTAAAGAGCTTCTTTTATCTATTTGGGCTCACGGAGCTGAGTGTCGATGCCGTCGTGTCTTGCTGCTGGAGGCTGGGCGTTGTGACACCATCCGGGATGGTGGGCACAGATCACTCGGTAAGCTGCTGTGTGGGGCGAGTGGTTAGGGCCACTTTTTGTAGCAGATGTCTTCTTGCGGCTGCCTTTCCAGTGCCTAAGCTGGGTGCTGGGTGGACGCCGGCTGTTGTCAAGCGACTCTTTAGGCCTGAGGCTCTGTGCCGCCACCTGTCACACGTGGTACAACTAGCTGAATCGTGTGAATCATGGCAATGAGGTGTTGCACTCAGCTTCCCTCACTTTTTTATCTTGCGATGCACGAGTTAGAGAAAGCGACCTTGGTTTTATTTTAGCTGGGCGTCTCGGCCGCCGCCAATGTGTTTGCTAGCACTATTGATCATCGTACCACGTGGGCGAGGAGTCCGAATCTCTCTTCCCTATGCCTTGCTGCATTGTTCTGTCGAGTGTTCTGAGTGTGCGCATCGGGAGTGTATAACCCGTGGCTTGCTTTCTTTTGGGCATCGTCTTCGCCGTTGGCCAGGAATGCGGTCATGATATCGGGCGATGCACATGTCTGGGATCTGCGCAACTGCCAGCAGTCGGCGCCCTCGTGAGTGCTGGTCGCAACCACAAGACGTGTTGGCGGGAGTGTGGTGGTTCCTCATGCCGACGGCAACGTTGCCGTTGCGGGACCGGTACTTAGGTGAAATCGCCGAGCTGCACAGTGTAGCAGAGTCAACCGGCGGTCGTGTCGTGGTACACGGACGTTAGGTAGGGATATGCGTTGTAATTTTTTGTTAGAGCTTGTGTAGATGATTTCTTTCATCATCATTTAGAGTTAGAACGGTAGCGCTGGTGGTAACGTTTGGTGGAAAGTCTGGGTGGCGGCATGAGAGAGAAGCGCTCCGCTATGGCACGTAGCGGTTGGCGCGAATGGTTGTATGTCGCGGCGGGTATGCGGTGGACGGCACCACTGGTCGTTTGCCGTGGACTTTCATGGAGAGTTGAGAGTTGGCGACGCTGCCTTGTCTGTGTCATTTTGTTTGTCATGTTGTTAATTGTTGTTCAATATTGTGTAACGTTGTTTAGCGTATTTATCACAATATGTACTTTATTAGCACGCAATATCAGTGTTCTAAAATCAGTTAAATGTGTGTTGTCTGGTTCGGTTCCACTGTATCAACTGTGTCTGTTCATCCCAAGAGCGTTGTGCTTTCCAGTTCGAGACCCCACAGTCTGCAGTGCAACAATGCATGTTATTGTATATAACTTTATTTATTTTGACTTCTGTAACTACACTTACTTGGGCTTGATAGTATTGAAAAAACTGTAAAAGAGGGGTCTGTGATATGCGGGCAATAATGAAGGCAAATGCACAGAGGTTGCGGCAGCGGGTAGGTTGTGGGCATTACAGCCCGGGACAGAGCCCTTGCTGGTCGTCAGAAGCGATGAGGTGAAATGGACTTTTCTTCAAGTCCAATTCACTGTCGTGGTGTGTGCCTTCAGTGCTGAGGCACCATTGTGAAGCCTGCCTTCCAAACAATATTTATCTTATGGTTCGGCAGACACTTGCTATGACAGAAATATGGCTGTCATGTTCTTTAACAGATGTAGGCACCCTGATTTTAGTTGCGTTGAAATCCTGCTTGTAAGACGGCTACGTGAAGGATGGCAGCGTCATGAGGGTTATCTTGCGATTAAGAAGATGAATTCTTTCACTGCCAGAAGCCGAAAATTTCGCTTCAATACCCTTAACAATGTACTCGATCAGTGTTGATATTTTGTCAAGAGAGAGAGGTTGGATAGGCAGTTGATTGCACGCAGTGTCTATACGGCGATGTTTTATGTCAGCAAAGGATGTGCCAAATTAGGTGACGAAGTAGGCTTTTAGTGGTCCATGTATGCGTGGTTCATGAGTTTGGACAGTGGATGCAGCAGACACCGGCACAAGTCAAACAGGTGATCCAGTGGTAAGATCACTACTCTTTGTTTAATATTTAGCACTGCTTGCTCCTAAATCGCAGTTCAATCTCACTTGAATGAAGTCGTAACAACAGTCACAAGTTTTCGTTAAATATAAAAGTTTGTAAAATGAAGATTGTGGTACTTCGCTTCCCTGAAATCTGATACTGTAGCGCAGTGACACCCGTAAGTTATTGTTTTCGCCGCCATTCACCCCTTTACATATGAAAAATCCAGGACCCTCATTGGAGGTAGGGCGGTGAAGGCTAGCCCACGTGACACAAAGGCATGGATAACGAATGTAGCAATTGCCCATGAAGCTCGAGTGAGAAAGTTGCAAGAATATAATCATCGCTATCCATCTCCTAGACTAAAATAACGAAATAATACCTCCACCATTCCTAGCATCATGTGGTATAAGAGCTGTATATTGCCGCGTCCGCAATAAAGTTCGCAAACTCTGCATGCAGTTTTATCAAAATGAACCTATGACCATGACTAAGGCGTCCAGGTATTTTAACGAGATCAGAGTAAAGTCCAAGAACGGAGATAAAGCTGTCTGCATGAAAGTTAGAAGAAAAGCATCGCTTTTGTGCAAAACTCCCGTATTTACGCGCATAAGTTGTACCCTCGCCTAATTTGCGCACCCATCATAATTTTTCAGCTTTTCGACAAAAAAAAATATTTACTCTCATAGTTCGTGCTCCCGGAACCACCCGAGCCAGATCGCCGGCGCGCGTGCTTATGGACCTTTAGATGCTTCGGCCGCGTGCGTGCCTCACCGAGCAGACGAGCGCAGTCGAACGGGCTGCGAGTGCGAAGTCCCTTATTCCAAAGACTTCCCCCAACTAGGTTACCTATAATACCGCACCTGAACACATCGTCGACAGATGTTAAAAAAAAATGGGGCGTTTGAACACGCTCGATGGAACCAAGGACGATACGCTTCAGGGGGGCTGCAGCAGCGGCCACGACGATGATTCCCAATCGGGCTTCTTGACCAGTGATTTCCGCTAGACCGCGCGTGAATAGATTTAACTGGTTCTAAGCAAGCACTCATTCTTACAATGCTAGGAAGTGCACTTAGTCTGCGCTCCAATCATTTCTTCTTTGTTATTGTACATACTGTGCGCATTAGGACTGTTACACAATATTTTGTATGCGCTCGCGAAATCTCCGCGTGATTTACGCACCCCCTTCTGGGGTCCCGGAAATCACGAAAAGAAGTTTGCAAATGATGCGAGTATATACGGTATGTAAGAAAACACTCCATCAAAGCGGGTTCCGTACCAAGGTAGTTTTGCTTTGGTTCATGGAAAGCTTTTTTCAAATCGGATTTAGTTACATCGAGTTTTAACTCTATACACAAATTGTGACTGCCCAACTCACATTAACACGTCCGTCCGTATTACAACCACTATGCAAACACTCCGAGGTGTCCCGCACGTCGATCAATTGTCAACCGTCTGTGTATGCTCTGAGTCAAGATAATAATGAATGCACATGATTCTATACACAGTACTCCTTTACCTTTGGCAGTTTGGCTCTGCTACCACACAAAAATGAAATTCGCCGACGTTAGTTGCGGCAGTGGCGATGCAGCTCACCTGGTGAAGGTCTCTCAAGAGTCGTCTATTCTGAGCAGTGATTTAAAGATCTGACGAAAATGTGCTTTTAGGATAATTTTTTTCATATCTCAGTGGTGACGAGTGGTGACACATTTCAAAATTTCTCCTATAAAAGCTACCCTACACTGTAAACTTCAAGTTGCAATAAAATTAGTTAAGCTGACAGGAGTAGCGCTCTTACAAGCATCGCTTAGAGTAAGGGTCTGTAATCTTTTCATGCAGAGAGCAAGTTACATCACAAAGTCAGATGAATCACAAACACCAGCTCAGACGGCAAATAAAAGAAAGGGGGAAGGGGGAGTTCTGTGAATTGACACTAATTGGGCAAACTGCATTTGTAACTATGTTTATTTTCAGCACGCTTGCCACAAAGTTTCAGTCAAACATAGCCTATAAGTGAAAATCCTGTTTTACGTCAAAACTGCCGCATTAGCTTTCAGATTGAATGTGACAAAGGAATAGAGGGGCTTAGTCCATGCTGGGGCTTCGGGTTGCCGACCCCAGGCTTGGAAAACTTTCACGTGACAAAAAAATGAGGGTACTCACACTTCAAAAAGATGCTTTGCGACTGCAGTATCAACTGCACTTAAAGGATCGTCCAGCAGGTAGATGTCAGCGTCGTAATAGAGCGCCCTATAAAACACCAATTTTAAGAAAGAAGAGGTATTAGTTTATTGTTTGTTTAATGCACGTTTATATAGGGAGCTTGTGGAATTGACTTTTGCCAAGAAGCTACAACAGTGTTTACAGCGGATGCACTCACGTTGGCTCTTGGTGTTATATCTTTATGCCGGCGACTAACATATCTGATAATTTATTAAACAAACCCTTGTGGGAGCTGAGCACTTCGCGGTGTGAGCGTAATAAAATATCACAGCATATCCACGAGGTGAATGATGAGAAGTGGAGCAAAGCTCTCTGCAAGAAGGTTAGTCACCCTAGTCGATCATCAATCACGGACGGACGGACGCATGGACAGACAGACAGACGCACGTACAGACAGACGCAGGGATGGACGCAGGAACGAAAGGACGGACGCTTTACCCCACTCATTCTCATTCACTCCGTGGATATGCTGTGACATCGTTTTTATTGGCTTGCGATGCAATTTTATGTCCTTGAAAACTGGCTACTACGACGACACGGGGCGTAAGGACCCACAGCGTAAGGAGCTTCACCCCTAAAGAGGTGGGGTCACTTATTAGCCTAAGGGCATGGGCTAACTCACCCTCCATTACATGTTAGAGTTGTCAATAAGCAGGACGTCGTAGCAAGCTCGCATGACACTGCCATCGAATATATCCGCGGCACAAACAAGACGAGGTTGCCAAAAAATACGCTATACAACTTAGGTAAAACACACCTAGTCATCGTTTATGACACACCACTACCATGGGCGGAAAGTTACATTCGTCTGACCGAGAGTTGTGGCAATCTCTGCTTTAGTAAGCATGCCTTTAGTATAAAACAGGCTTTCACCTCCTCCAACCATATCAACCCCTCATCGCTTCACACCCTCACATTCTTTACCCAGCTCTTTGCAATATTATACAATACAGAGCTTATCGCTGCTTCTTTGATCCTTCATCACCCTCACTATCACTTCTCGTTGCTTTTATCCATTCCATTCTACATCATCTTCACCCTCGAGTTCCCTTACCACACATGTGCCATACTTCTTTTCTCACCATTCTCCTTATAGTCACAATATTTCTTCTCACCCTCACCTAACTTTCCCCCGCCATTGGTTTGTTACATTATGTCTTCCCGCTCCTTTGCTCCTCATCCTTACGTAACTCTTCAACATTCTCACTTCCCTTTTTCTAACTCCTCCCTGCATCTACGAGAAGCTTACCACACGTTTTTTGTCACTTCTGCTCCACTGTGCTTGACAACCGCAAGTCTGCAGCTTCCAACTTATCTCCCTCTTGCCTCACCTGCTGAATATGCGAATCAACTATGCGACTGCCGCGACTGAACTTCGCCTGTTAGAGGGCGTATATATTATAATGTGTATTTTTTTCCTTTGCTCTACCTAAACTTGTGTGTTACACAATATTTCACCCATTTGTGAGCTCTATAGCTGCATTAGCTATAGAGCTCACAACGCTGTAAAACGCTGTCGTCGGTGAATGCTACCACTCCCCGAAAAGAACCGCCTTTATTGCCGTCTGTTGTCTCAATGTGAAGCAGTAAGGACACATGCTGTTGAAAAATGTAGCAACCATTTGATAATCATCGCCTAGTCTGCGGGTGAGCCAGCCCTCGGCACGGCGCCCTTATGATCCAACTGCTCGAGCCCTTACGATCGAACTGCTCGGCACTGCACCCTTATGTCTTGTTGCTCGAGCAGTGAAGCCCCCATTTAGAGGCATTCATGCTCCTTCACCCGCTGAAGGGTGAGCGGCGCATTTTTTTTCTAGTTGAGAAGCAAGCAATCGATGTCATCACTCGCGCGCGCCATGATGTAAACGCATGCACCCTCCGCGCAGTAAATATTGCCGTCTCGTTTCTTTTTTTTCTGCTTCAGCCGCGTTATACCGTGCCGCTGGCGTGCTTTTACTCGCGGGTAGAATATACGATGTGCGAAGTGGTGATATGAATTTGGACATTCTAGGGAGCACGACGATTATGGTCAAAGCCCACCAGGTGTGTCTATAGGGTTGATGTCGTAATAAAAAAAACATCACTGGCTGGGCTGTTTTGAAAATGTGTACATAAGCGAACATTGAGGTTGCTACATGTGGAATACATTTTCTTACCTGGCAAGGTTGACCCTGGCCTTCTGTCCGCCGCTAAGGGAAACACCTTTGTCACCCACCAATGTCTTGTCACCGTATGGTAGCAGATAAAGGTCCTGTAAACAATACTAATGACGTAAAACATGCATGACACATCAAGGAATATAAAGCATCAGATGTAGGCACCTTCGCGACAATGTATAACTTATATGTGAAGAAACGTTTGTTTCGAACGGAAATCCTCAAAGGATGAATGAGACAGTACTGCGTCTCCACTACAAAAAAAAAAAAGTATTGCATAGCAGGCGATAATATAGCTACATTCGCAGACGCTGAATTATTTGAATAAATGAATGAATAAATGAATAAACTTTACTTTAAGTCCGGCACTTTTACCGGGCGAGGTGGGGGAAGGGGGATTGACCCCTGTCCCTTTCCACTCTCCGTCGATTATGATGGCGGTGCCTCAAGTAACCGCTCGAAGTCCTTGAACCCGGGCGGCATCTTCAGCTTGCCGGACAACCCAAAGTAGGTCTGCCAGCTCGTCACTGGTGAGTGCCGCGTCCCAGCGGCAACGCAGCCAACGCTTCCGATCGGCAACAGTGACCGCAGCCGCGGCGGAGGCCGGCCCCTACCCTCGCGCGTTTGTGGCAGCAGCAATTGGCCTCGGAGTTCGTCCCTGCCTAACATGCGTCGCGAAGGGAGTGACGGCAGTGACGTTGACTTTTCCAGCACACTCCCGAAGCATGTGCCGCAGTGTGGCCCTTTTCACGCGGGCTTTACATGCGTCCGTCGGGTATAAGTGAGGATAACACAAGCGTGGATCACTGGGCTGCGGTACGTATTTGTCTGTAATAAACTGTGAGTTACGGTTCATCTTTTGTCCAATTTGTTGTGTGGTGGTGGGTATTTGCGTCTGTTTAGTCTGTAATATTGTGTAATGTCGTTGAAAGTGGTCAGGTGACCGTCCCACGACCAGTCCAGTTGTTGTTGAGTGGATAGTGTCATCGCCCCACTCTCGGAGGTAAAGGCGGCCACCGAATGGGCCGTGGCTCGGTCAGTGAGATCTCGAGCCACGGTGTGGGCCGTCTGGTTACCTGCGATTGGGAAGCTGGTGTGAGCCGGGGTCCACAAAAGGAAGACATTCGCATTTTCAGTTTTGAGATACGAGGATGACGACGCTGATGCCATCGCTCCTCGAAGTTATTTGAGAAAAAGAATAATAGGTAAAGCGCGTGACGAAAGTCGCTAAACAAAATGATTTGCAGTGGCTATTGGTACTCGGTACCACGCCCTTATTATCTAAGTGTAGACTGGCTGCTTGACGAATTTAGACCCAACCCAGTTGCTACCTTGCTCCGCCTGCCTCAAGAGTCAGATACAATGTATCGATACCAAATTCGAACGTCTTATTGCTATTATACGCTCGTCATTAGAGCCTAAAACATAATTGCACATAAAACAAGACCTTCAAGCTCACTCCACAAACGCCAGCGTAAATGACTGCGATGTCTAGTAATGTGGTCGTTAACATGATCACCTGCACAGTTGGTTCTGCCCCAACTGAACGATAAGTGCAACTTGAATTACTGTCGTGTCGAATCGAACAATATTTGTACGTTTCTTTGTATTACCCGCCCAAGAAGCGCCACCGGTATTCTTTTTTTTCCACAAGAACCTCTGCGATAGGTCGTAATAAGGTCGCAAATTTGACCACGACCGGAATAACAAAGTGGAGGGCTCGCGTCAAAAACAAAAAAATAGTAATAGTAATAATAGGAGAGGCCCTTTGCCTCTCCCTCTTACTTTCTTGCTTTGTCATCTGGTCATGCTTGAGACTTGATGCTTTTCAGATTTGAATGCAAAGAACACCCGCTAATTTTATTATAAGCCTCTCCGGTGTGTTTAATATTACCTGGAGCACGTGGAGAGACTGTCGTGTCGTGTTTTTGCGGAGTACGTGGAGAGACTGTCGTCGTAATAATTACTTATATTAGGAGACGAAGACACATGGACAGCATTCTATTTGTTTGGTTCGTTGGATAATACCAAAGAAGGCTAAACTGTGCGAGAAGTTAAGACGAAAAGAAGGAATGCATACGACATTTAGAAGTGCAGTCCAAGCACCGTATTTGTTTTTTACATTCGTCTTGACTTAGAGCGTTGGGTACCTTCATTTCAAGAGAGGACATCTCCCCTCGAAACTGCGGGAGTGCCTTTGTGAAAAATAGCTTCCTCTATATGTTCAGTAGTGCACGCTTTGATTGCCTGTGCGTAAGTACTGCCGAAGTTGACAGGTGGGATTTTTTGACAAACTGTTCGCAGGTACTTACAGCAGTTATACCAATCATCTAGCTACTTTTTATTTCATACAACAGGAAACGTTTAGGTTCTTCTAAGGCAGCATATCTGTATAGTGCTATTGTGCACATTGTATATGCCTATTGTTCAGAAGAAATACATATTGTTTAAAACTAAAATATCTTCAATATGGGAAGGATGTGGACTAGGTCTTTTGAAAAAATTGGCGCCTATAAAAATGGAGGTCCCGATAGAACTTTCACAAACACATTTTTAATAACACTCGAAAAACGACCACACATATTTTCATTTGTGCTCAAATTATATAGGGTTACATTTTTGCTTGCAATATTTACTTTCACAGGGCTATTGTAGAAAGAAACACATTGATTGCATACATCTTTTCTGCGGTTAAACTGAGGAATATCTTTACATTTTTACGAAATAATTCTTCTTAAACACAGTGTAGAAATTGCTGAGCTCTTTCGCGGAAATGAAACTTTTAAATGAGGCATGTATACCCATTATTATATCTGTTTCATTATTTTTTTAGGTAGAGAAAGAAACAGGAAACGCTTAGAAGAACGCTTAAGTTCTTCTAAGGCAGCATATCGGTGTACTGCTATTGTTTACACCAGGTTTTTGAAAAAAGTGGCGCCTATAAAAATGGAGGTCCCGATAGAACTTTCACAAACACATTTTAATAACACTCGAAAAACGACCACATATATTTTCATTTATGCTCAAATTCTTCGCATTTAAACATGTACTCTATAGGGTTACATTTTTGCTTGCAATATTTACTTTCACAGGGCTATAGTAGAAGGAAACACATCAATTGCATACGTCTTTTCTGCGGTTAAACTGAGGAATATCTTTACATTTTTACGAAATATTTCTTCTTAAACACAGTGTAGAAATTGCTGAGCTCTTTCGCAGAAATGAAACCTTTAAATGAGGCATGTATACCCATTATTATATCTGTTTCATTATTTTTTTAAGTAGAGAAAGAAGGTATGTACAAGCTGTTTCATACTTAAGAAAAATCTCAGAGCGCTTGGCACCGCGATGTGACTAGCGCTGCAAACTCGCGCCGGCAGCAACTCACGCGTGCGCAGACGCTTTAAGGGGGCATGTAGAAATACGTCGTCTGCTACGGCAGGGCACATTGTCGGCCTCTGAACGTATATTACGTTAATGCGGGAACTGGGCCGATATTTTGCACTAATAATTTCCAGAAAAATCTGTGCCACAAGATGGGATACGAAAAAACAAGGAATGACAAACTCGTGCATGCATTCTTTCTTCGTGTCCCGTCTTGCTGCGCAGTATTTTCAGATGTTCCCACAAGGGGCGGAAACTCATGCATTCGCTCTCGTGTGATGATACGCAGTGGCAGCGCCGATGTTACCTCTTGCGGCTTCCGGGCATCCTGCAAAAAATAGGTCATGAACAGAAGAATTCTTTCGTGATGTCGCTGGTGACGTCGCCAAAGAGAGCAAAAGGAGGAAGGTTGCCAAAAAAACCCTCTTTACCGACTTCACATGGAAGCCGAATGCACTCGTGCCTTTTTTCAGGTCCGCTGGCTGCATCGGCAATGTGGCCATTCGTAAAATTTTGTTAACCATCTATTTTTAAAATTTTCTTCGGGCGTTCTGAAGCGGCAAAAGTTAAGCTGAATGGTTTCTCAATAAGACTAAACTCGATCGGCACATATAAAATTATCTTTTTAATGCACGTTTTGTGCAAAAAAAAACAAACACACGTAGTGTGAAAGTATCAATTTATACAAGCGCTTTATATTCAATTGACCTATTGACATTATGAATGAACATGGCACCGAGACTTTCCAAACTAATGCAAAAATTATCATCAATCCCGAGTAGGACACGTAGTATCTGGCCCAGTCACATTTGCTATGATGGTGTACATAGTTTTATTACAGAATTTCAGTACCAAACGAGACTGAAGTTCGGAGGAACGTAGAGATTTGGAGCTTTCAGAAGCGTATAAAGAGATCGCTGGAAAGAGTGTTTCGGCAGTTGGACATGTCTTCGTCCGGCCAACGGCGTTGCCTTGACGAAGAAGAGTTCTCTTGTCAAAACGTTGGCTCCAGCAACATTCGCTGTTACGATTTTTGGAAGCATTTAGTCCATCACGTGTATTTGACCGACAGTATTGGAAGTAAAAACGTAAACCCAGGTTACATAAATTTGATGAACAGGAAGGAGCCTCTAATTACTTGATAACTTACTTGATATCATTCGGACTACATGCCAAAAGCAAAAGAAGCAAAAACAATTCAGCCGAGTCAACATGAATTCAAGAATTTAATCAAACGCATTTTGCTGAAAGCGACTTGGCCTACGTCTTGACCAATAAATCTAGCGACACTGAACTTCTGTCAGTCCGGTGAGCGCTTGCACGGAACTGGGTTTACTCGTGTACTCGTGCAAAATCAACACCTGCATGCAACAATACACTTATTTTACGTGCTGGAATCATCATATCATTAGGAGGCACGCCGTGTTTTGAGATTCCAGATTGATTCCGGCCACTTGAGTATTTTTTTTTGTTTTTTTAACGTGCACCTAATTCTATTTGATGTGTTTACGGTATACGCCAAATGTAACTTCTGTTTACATCGAGCTTTACACCACCGTACGCTTGTATTAAGCAAGACCAGCACGCCCTGTGTGTCACTATTGCACCAAAATCTGAAGCACACTAAGAGTGCGTTTCGCTTCCGTGGAAATGTGCTAGCGTATGCGGAGATCGAACTCATGACATCAATTCCAGCATCAAAACACCTCAT